AAAATAAATGCATGAACTGATTTTTTTAAATTTAAAAGACCGTGTAGAGAGAGTAAACATAATGTAACAAAACTTGAAATAAAAAAACATTCTGTAAAAACCTATAAGTACTTTCTTTATATTTTCTGTGCTCTATATAAATCATCTAAATCATGTTCAATTTACTGCAATTAAAAGTGATGAATCTTTGTTCCGTGATTTTTTTTATAATGAAAGTTCTTTATGTAATATTAATCTTACGTAAAGAATCTCACCTGTCTAAACGATTTTTTCTCATCAGCAATTATTCGCGGGTATTCTCTCGTTTTGGTGCGCGATCGCATTCGCGCTATCATGCGAAATCGCTTCTCTGTGCAATAGAACAGCGGCGAAGGAGAACACAATGTAACATTGCACAAGAGTGTCGTAAATGTGGCGATTAATAACGGAGCGAAATTCGAACAGGCCATGTATTGAGATTGCATCCGTACGAAATTGGAAGAATGAGCCGAAATATAATACGATACCTTCGCGTATTCGTGTTTGCTTATTTATTCATTGCTCGTTATTCATTTATCCCATTATTTCCATCTCAATTTTCATAGTCGAATGCGTAAATTGTGACTTGCCGATGATTCGCTCGATGATTCGCGCGTTTATTAATTGCAAATTGCAACATCTACTTCATCTAGAGTTGTACGTCTTGCTAGCTGATTACGTTTTCGCGATTGACTCTCGGTATGCAGGAAGAGATAACACATGAGAATAGATAATTATCTACTGCCGCTATAATTGCCTCTATTGCGGAGACCGGAAAGAGTTTGTACTTGTCTTTTTGCTAAATGCATGGGTAATTATTTCTCAATAAGAGAGCATGAGAGAACGACATTGCTCACGAAATAACTTTAGGGGATGGAATAAATTTTAAAAAATTCAAGATTTTCTAATATTTTCTTCACCCCCCAGGAAAAAGAACAATACACGTACATATAATATATTTTGCTTTAATTTTGCTTAAAATCAAATAAAACAATTTATTTGATTTCAAATAATGATTCAATGTTCAAATCAAAGAGACTTACTGTGTGTATATATTCTTCTCTCTGGGCGAAGAAAATATTAGAAAATCAAATTTCTTCTTTAACCGTATAGCAAAGTAACGTTTCTTTGAATCAAAGAAACCTTTCTCTGAGTGTACGCTGACATGTATGATATTTAAACAAATATTCGTCAGAATTACAAAAAAACAAATAATAAAAGATTAACATACAAGATAATGATCCGATTAACGTATTACAAGCGAATTACGTATTACAAGCGAAAATTGTTTCATGTGCAGGAGATTGGTTTATCGAGTGCAGCGATGCACGAATTGCAGCAATGCGTTTTCCGCGGGGGAAAGCGCGTTCGAACGGTGCAGTGGTGCATAAGCGAATGGGGAACGTGAATTTTTTATTTTCTTTTTAGATTTTACCCACACACATATGTCAATTATCTAATCAAGCTGCATAGATTGCACCTGCCAGCTAATAAGAAACCGCGCGATATAACGTAATCGCACGAAAATTATACACGATAAAGTAAAACCCATGGCGACATATTTTCGTGTTACTACCTACACACTTTTACTTACTTATTATTTCGTTTCTTTTTTTACCCTGCGTCATATTTCCACTCGTGTTATTTCGTTAATGTTGTACGCACAAGGTATATGCTACATACAAAATATTACTATACGAATCGCTCTCTTTCGTCTCTATATACTGTGTTTCTGAAACATTAAAAGACTCGTTTAAAGGTTTCTCGTTCGCGAAAACTCCCTCGGGCACTGCTACGCGATGCCAACGGTGAGCATTGCATTAATATTTCTTGCACGCCCGCTGCATCGGCAAACACATGTCCATCTCTCTCCTTCTCTCTTTCCGGCCGCCACTCGTTCATCTGATCCAAACAGCGAGCGTGAGACATTACAAAATAATGAGAATCGTTAAACTTTCCAAGTTTTGCAACGATTCCGCTGCACGACGTATCTATACATCCACGCGGGGTTGTTCTGCGCATATACACTTGCGATAAATGCAACGAATCGTGCTTGGTCAGGGTTGCGCAAATCGCGTAGCGAGCACCGCGGCTTTTATACCGAGCAAGTAGGCGACCGTCGGCCTCAGACCTAGCGGGTAATTGCTAATCGGTCTGAAAAAGCGCGGCCGACGACGAAGTAACGTCGGGGCGTTCACTTCCACTGCTCGGAAACGACGATTTCGCGCTCGCAAAAATCGCGCTATGCAGACTCGTGCTTTCGAAGGGAGTGAGAGAGAAGGTGAGAGAGAAGAAGCGAGAGGGAGTCAGTTGTACTTAGATGTGACCCAGAACTAAATGCGTTCATGGCTATAACCACCTCTAGTAGTCAGCACTTGTTGCGAAATTAACGCTGCTCATAAAGCGCGCGTTTATTAGACCCGAGGGTGAATGACGCACAGAGGGAAAATTGCTGGAACTGCTTGTGTACTAAAAATTAAAAGACAAAGCTACTGTACATGAAATGTGTCTACAATTTCACACAATGTGATTAGAGAATGTCTTTGTTCCAAAGAAACTGCAGTTAAACGAAAAGGAAAAACAATTTCTCTTTAATATATATGTTATTATAAAATATGAAATATGAATTAATTCATAAAAGCAAATTTAATAAAAAATTTGATTCTCTTTAAAAAAATATGAAATATCAATTGGTATTTATTATGATACACAATAATCGAACATTTAATTAATTCGATATTATTATTGTTTTTATGTATTATTAACTATATGTTAATAATATATTAATAATAATATTTCTAAGAATACGTTCATAAAATAATTTGTAAAATAATTTTTTTAAATCTGTATATGAGAGAGAGAGAGAGAGAGAGAGAGAGAGAGAGGATAAACAAAATAATTCCGTTTCTAAGATTCTCTTAGAAATTATAAGAAAAAAGTATTGCATTTTCGTAAAGATGTTGCTTTTTTGTTAGATTACATATTATTTGATTAATCGTTAAAGAGAAAAACATAATTCTAAAAAGTTTTATTGTTAACCGTACGTGCACCAATTTCTCAGCGTAACAAAGATTTCAACATGAGGCCAAGATCTGGCATGAAACGAATGACTAGAAAAAGATCACACGGTTTTCCTCGCGCGCTGCAAGTTAAACGCCGCGGTTAAAGAAACGTGGATTTTGCTATTACGGAACTAATATATGTATATACATATACAACGAAATTAAACTCGAGTCGAATAAAGAACGACGGATTTCGCCGTTATGAAATTAATATATTCCATATTGAACAGTACTATATTTTGTATAAATTAATGTAATCCAAATCGAGAGAATTTCATACTGTACAGTAGGAAAAAAAATCGATTTATTTACGGTTTCAAGAAGAAAACGACCGAACACACGAAACGGTTTATAATGTTCTTTATATGTCGCAATCGAAATAAGAAATCAATTCTCGTTTCTTTCTGGTATTTTTGCATGTTTTATTATCAATTCCATGTGTCTTTTCCACAATGTATATACCTAGTCTTTATTTTATTAGATGTAATTGCGAAATTGACTGTAGTAGAGCATGCGGGAACGTTTGATGTTGCGGAAATCTATTGTTCCCCAGTTTCCTGTCAAATCTGCCACGACTGAAGTCTCGTTAAGGCAAATTTTCCTTAAACGCTAATTCCCGCTGTGAAAAATCTGAGAAAAACTGACGGGCGCCGTATTTTCTGTTTTAGGAGAATTAGTAACGTAATTGCACGCTATTACGCGAGCCGTACGTTTTATTTGAGGTAATTACAGCGGGATATCGCGTAGAAAGATAGAGTTAATTGTTGTTCCAGTGTTGCACGGAGTACGTCTTTTACGCAAGTTGCAAAGAAAAAAAAAAAAAACGTCCAAACCTTTTCTTTCTCATAAACTTGCCTCCTGCATTTTCCTGGAGTGTTACATCCTAATCAGCCGACTCCATCAGCACGCGTTACGCCCGGCGCACCTCGGCACCTGCAATACGTGAACTTCTCTTGCAAACGTTACTCGTTACATGCTGGGTTAGCAACCGCTGCGATTTAACATCGCGATCTGTGGATCTGGAGTGATCGATCTTTAGACGAGAAGCAGAAATCAGCAGTGCTTATTAAGACAATTGTGAATATGTCGTGGCGCCGTTTGTCAAAGTTATGCAATTCGTTCATACAAGGTGTTCTGTCTTTGACTTAGGAATAGGCAGTGCCAGAAGAAATATATCTATATAGCTGAAAACCAATTTTTTTTTACAGTACCGTGGTTATTAAGATTCATGTGGTATAAACTAATGCAGCATAGAAACAGTTCTAGATTTTCACGAAAATATATATATATAACTTTCTAATTGTGAATAAAAATCTTTTTTTAACTTTGGAAACATTAAAAAAGTTATTAAAGTGGAGTCACTCGGTGAGATATACAGTCCAGTTCTACTTTCCTTTATACGCATATATCTATTTGCTCATGTAATCTTGCGAAACGTAATAATTTAGTTTTATGTAAATCTACTTTCCCACGTAAACTTACGAAATAAAAGAATTCGTTGTTTATTTTCAAATTTGTAAATTATCAATGGATTTGGTAGCCGTTGATCGTGTCGCAATTCGCATTCTTTGTTCGAACGACCTGCTTTTTCTTATAAATCAGACGACATACCGGATTTTATTTCAAGTGTCCCTCTTCGATGGTCCATGATCCTTGAGTATCTTTAAGGGTGTCGTTTTGGTACCGGAAGCTACGCATAAATCGTTATCGATCGTAACCAAGCTCCCAATAAGGGATTCAAAAGGGTCGCGCCATTGGTGAAAGGGGTCCGCATCCGAAGCAGTGCAATAGTCGGTACCCCCGCCTCATCCCTGGGTCCCCCTGGGCCTGGGCAGGGCTCAGCTATAAAAGCATACTGCATCGCCCCTCGGACACGTAGTGTTTTCCCGCGTAGCGCACAAGAAAAACTGTCAACACACACCATGAAGTTCTTCGTAAGTTTCTCCTCGCAATAACGTGAGGAAGTAAAAGTTAAATCGTTGTGAGCCCCGAGAATGATCCCTTTTGCGATTGATTGTGGGGATTCTGTCACGCGGTGTCGCACAAGTTCTGCATTTATTCAAAATTTCCACGATATTTGGTTTTGCATTACGTATAGATGTAGATTGCAACTATTTTATTTTACGTGTTATAAAATTATGATTTAGATATTATAATAGATTAATATTAAAAATTAAATAAAAATCAAGAATATTAATTTAGTATATATAATTTGTACATATAATTTAAAATATTAATTAATTATTTAATTAATACACTTATATTAATCTACATTATTCACTTATTATTGAATTTATATTATTAATAACTAGGATTAATTTAATATTCTAATTTACGAAAATATTATTGTGTGTTGCGTGATAATATTTTTATTACTATATAAAAAGAATTTTTTTATATTATACTTGACATTTATAATATTTACATTTGTAGTATTTAAAATATTTAATTGAACATATTTAATTAATTTTTTGTAGTTTTCATTGAATTATGACATAAATATATTTTAAATGTATTGTGGATATATACCTAATGTTATTATATATGTATTACTTGTGTAATTTGTGCATTATACTGTACTACGTTATATATTGTATTGTTACAGATTGTTTTGTTTGCTGTTGTGGCGGTCGTCAGCGCCGGATACGAGGCAAGTACTTTATAATCATCATTGAACAAATTTATATTTACGTAAATTTTACAATTTATATGTTACTATTTCTCTTTGTTGTATGTGCGCAAACATGTTATAGTAATACTAATTGTGTAATAACACTATATAAATTATCTATTAACGGCCTACTACTACTTCTCTGAATTTTATTTTTGTGATTAATTAAACTTTAATTATTTCATTCTTATTAATTTTTAGCAACTCTCGACGATTTTTTCTTCTTAAATAACTAAATATTCTTTGTTACCCGCATATTCGAGCGATTCAAATCTTCGTGAGAAAAGACGTCTTAACAAGGTATATCTGTATAATTATCATTTTTTCTTAATTAAGGGAGCGTTTGTACTTTTTAATCTTTCAGTTCGAAATTAATCTTTCAATAATAAATCTTTATCATCATTATTGGTATCGTTTCTCAAGCATGACTGATTTTACCTAACTTCTTGTATTTTGGTATTTCAATTTTGTTTTATTTAAACTCCTTCTCTATACAAGATCAAATTATTTAATATATTGATCGATAAATTTATGCAATAACTCTAAACATTTAATAACAAAGTCTTCTTTAACCTTTCTTCTCGTCTTTGTGGATGTTTCTATATCAACCATTATTCTCGTTCTATTCTTCGTAATTCTCTCAATCTGTGATAACTCCTCATTTCTTAAAATACCATCGCTGATGGGTCAACGTCATGCGGACTACGAAGGCTCGTTCTATTTCTCTTCTGACAACCGAGTATCTTTAGAACGTACTCGGCGGGAAAGTAACTTCATGTAACACCCGTGTTACTGATGAGATTGATTCCGATTATATGAAAAAGACTGTTTGACGCACCTCAGATTGCTCAGCCCTGGGTGGCTCCTGTGGTGCACGCTTCTCCAGTGGTGCATGCGCCTCAGCCTTGGGTCGCACCCGCGCCCAAATTCGTCAAGGTCGAAGCTCCCATAGCGCACGGCAAGGTAATGGTGGTAGAAAACTATTCATCGAGAGGTCCATATTATGTTATGCGATTGATATCTAATCGCCTTTGTGGCTTTAGCAGGGTCCTAGCTGACTAGATAATTTATTGCGTGATGAAGCTAATGCGCCAAGATAGTGGAGAACATTAAAATAAAGTTGCTGCAGTAATAAAAATGGGAAAATATTGCTGCAATATTCATAATTAAAAGGATATTTAACGCATATTATTTGATATTAATTCAAGTAAATAAGATATATTTTTAATTTTATAAATTTGTGATTAGGTGAATTAAAACAATGAGTAAGTAATAAATATTAATTACAGTTTATTACACGATTATAAAACGAGTACTATAATTATAAACAATAGATAAATAACAATAGTTTTCGGAAAATTGTCAAATGAGAGACCGAGCAGAAATTGTTATTTCGTGTCGTTGATTGTGCCTTTTCTTCTGTTTAATGATCGGCTGATTTCTAATGTTACATTACGTTACTAGATCTGATCAATAGTTACGTATCCTTCTTACTATACGTTGCAGTTAAACCGGCAATGAAATAGGTGTCCGCGATCGTTAACTAATTGGATTTCCTACTTAATCGAAGACCTATAAAGAGACAGTGACGAAACCTAGTCTCAATTGCACCGAAATAATCGGTGCAAGTCGTTTACGTAACGTTTGTTCCGCCTTCAAGTCCTCGTTGCATAATTAATGATAAGCAGCTTGGATTACCTTTGTTCTATTCGTTTTCACAACTGCTCAGAAATTTGATCGTAACTGATATTTTATTGAGGAAAGCAACTTGCCTTTTATAACTTTTTTTACATTTTTAAAAAATAATTATTGATTATATTTCTGTATTATCATGAATTCGTTATACAAAAAACATTGTATCTACACACAAATACGTAATATAAATTTTTTATTTAAAAAACTTTAATTGAAGTTATATATTTTGTTTTTTCCTGGAGTGTTACATCCTAATCAGCCGACTCCATCAGCACGCGTTACGCCCGGCGCACCTCGGCACCTGCAATACGTGAACTTCTCTTGCAAACGTTACTCGTTACATGCTGGGTTAGCAACCGCTGCGATTTAACATCGCGATCTGTGGATCTGGAGTGATCGATCTTTAGACGAGAAGCAGAAATCAGCAGTGCTTATTAAGACAATTGTGAATATGTCGTGGCGCCGTTTGTCAAAGTTATGCAATTCGTTCATACAAGGTGTTCTGTCTTTGACTTAGGAATAGGCAGTGCCAGAAGAAATATATCTATATAGCTGAAAACCAATTTTTTTTTACAGTACCGTGGTTATTAAGATTCATGTGGTATAAACTAATGCAGCATAGAAACAGTTCTAGATTTTCACGAAAATATATATATATAACTTTCTAATTGTGAATAAAAATCTTTTTTTAACTTTGGAAACATTAAAAAAGTTATTAAAGTGGAGTCACTCGGTGAGATATACAGTCCAGTTCTACTTTCCTTTATACGCATATATCTATTTGCTCATGTAATCTTGCGAAACGTAATAATTTAGTTTTATGTAAATCTACTTTCCCACGTAAACTTACGAAATAAAAGAATTCGTTGTTTATTTTCAAATTTGTAAATTATCAATGGATTTGGTAGCCGTTGATCGTGTCGCAATTCGCATTCTTTGTTCGAACGACCTGCTTTTTCTTATAAATCAGACGACATACCGGATTTTATTTCAAGTGTCCCTCTTCGATGGTCCATGATCCTTGAGTATCTTTAAGGGTGTCGTTTTGGTACCGGAAGCTACGCATAAATCGTTATCGATCGTAACCAAGCTCCCAATAAGGGATCCAAAAGGGTCGCGCCATTGGTGAAAGGGGTCCGCATCCGAAGCAGTGCAATAGTCGGTACCCCCGCCTCATCCCTGGGTCCCCCTGGGCCTGGGCAGGGCTCAGCTATAAAAGCATACTGCATCGCCCCTCGGACACGTAGTGTTTTCCCGCGTAGCGCACAAGAAAAACTGTCAACACACACCATGAAGTTCTTCGTAAGTTTCTCCTCGCAATAACGTGAGGAAGTAAAAGTTAAATCGTTGTGAGCCCCGAGAATGATCCCTTTTGCGATTGATTGTGGGGATTCTGTCACGCGGTGTCGCACAAGTTCTGCATTTATTCAAAATTTCCACGATATTTGGTTTTGCATTACGTATAGATGTAGATTGCAACTATTTTATTTTACGTGTTATAAAATTATGATTTAGATATTATAATAGATTAATATTAAAAATTAAATAAAAATCAAGAATATTAATTTAGTATATATAATTTGTACATATAATTTAAAATATTAATTAATTATTTAATTAATACACTTATATTAATCTACATTATTCACTTATTATTGAATTTATATTATTAATAACTAGGATTAATGGAATATTCTAATTTACGAAAATATTATTGTGTGTTGCGTGATAATATTTTTATTACTATATAAAAAGAATTTTTTTATATTATACTTGACATTTATAATATTTACATTTGTAGTATTTAAAATATTTAATTGAACATATTTAATTAATTTTTTGTAGTTTTCATTGAATTATGACATAAATATATTTTAAATGTATTGTGGATATATACCTAATGTTATTATATATGTATTACTTGTGTAATTTGTGCATTATACTGTACTACGTTATATATTGTATTGTTACAGATTGTTTTGTTTGCTGTTGTGGCGGTCGTCAGCGCCGGATACGAGGCAAGTACTTTATAATCATCATTGAACAAATTTATATTTACGTAAATTTTACAATTTATATGTTACTATTTCTCTTTGTTGTATGTGCGCAAACATGTTATAGTAATACTAATTGTGTAATAACACTATATAAATTATCTATTAACGGCCTACTACTACTTCTCTGAATTTTATTTTTGTGATTAATTAAACTTTAATTATTTCATTCTTATTAATTTTTAGCAACTCTCGACGATTTTTTCTTCTTAAATAACTAAATATTCTTTGTTACCCGCATATTCGAGCGATTCAAATCTTCGTGAGAAAAGACGTCTTAACAAGGTATATCTGTATAATTATCATTTTTTCTTAATTAAGGGAGCGTTTGTACTTTTTAATCTTTCAGTTCGAAATTAATCTTTCAATAATAAATCTTTATCATCATTATTGGTATCGTTTCTCAAGCATGACTGATTTTACCTAACTTCTTGTATTTTGGTATTTCAATTTTGTTTTATTTAAACTCCTTCTCTATACAAGATCAAATTATTTAATATATTGATCGATAAATTTATGCAATAACTCTAAACATTTAATAACAAAGTCTTCTTTAACCTTTCTTCTCGTCTTTGTGGATGTTTCTATATCAACCATTATTCTCGTTCTATTCTTCGTAATTCTCTCAATCTGTGATAACTCCTCATTTCTTAAAATACCATCGCTGATGGGTCAACGTCATGCGGACTACGAAGGCTCGTTCTATTTCTCTTCTGACAACCGAGTATCTTTAGAACGTACTCGGCGGGAAAGTAACTTCATGTAACACCCGTGTTACTGATGAGATTGATTCCGATTATATGAAAAAGACTGTTTGACGCACCTCAGATTGCTCAGCCCTGGGTGGCTCCTGTGGTGCACGCTTCTCCAGTGGTGCATGCGCCTCAGCCTTGGGTCGCACCCGCGCCCAAATTCGTCAAGGTCGAAGCTCCCATAGCGCACGGCAAGGTAATGGTGGTAGAAAACTATTCATCGAGAGGTCCATATTATGTTATGCGATTGATATCTAATCGCCTTTGTGGCTTTAGCAGGGTCCTAGCTGACTAGATAATTTATTGCGTGATGAAGCTAATGCGCCAAGATAGTGGAGAACATTAAAATAAAGTTGCTGCAGTAATAAAAATGGGAAAATATTGCTGCAATATTCATAATTAAAAGGATATTTAACGCATATTATTTGATATTAATTCAAGTAAATAAGATATATTTTTAATTTTATAAATTTGTGATTAGGTGAATTAAAACAATGAGTAAGTAATAAATATTAATTACAGTTTATTACACGATTATAAAACGAGTACTATAATTATAAACAATAGATAAATAACAATAGTTTTCGGAAAATTGTCAAATGAGAGACCGAGCAGAAATTGTTATTTCGTGTCGTTGATTGTGCCTTTTCTTCTGTTTAATGATCGGCTGATTTCTAATGTTACATTACGTTACTAGATCTGATCAATAGTTACGTATCCTTCTTACTATACGTTGCAGTTAAACCGGCAATGAAATAGGTGTCCGCGATCGTTAACTAATTGGATTTCCTACTTAATCGAAGACCTATAAAGAGACAGTGACGAAACCTAGTCTCAATTGCACCGAAATAATCGGTGCAAGTCGTTTACGTAACGTTTGTTCCGCCTTCAAGTCCTCGTTGCATAATTAATGATAAGCAGCTTGGATTACCTTTGTTCTATTCGTTTTCACAACTGCTCAGAAATTTGATCGTAACTGATATTTTATTGAGGAAAGCAACTTGCCTTTTATAACTTTTTTTACATTTTTAAAAAATAATTATTGATTATATTTCTGTATTATCATGAATTCGTTATACAAAAAACATTGTATCTACACACAAATACGTAATATAAATTTTTTATTTAAAAAACTTTAATTGAAGTTATATATTTTGTTTCTTAAAATTAAACTTATTGCTATTAATTATAATAATTTAAATTAAATAATAAAAATTGATTTAATAGCTTAATTAATATTAATTTCTTAATGAATTATTTTTGATATTATTGAGTATAAATTATTTTCAATTGATTATAATATTGTTTTGCAAAATAATAATAAAATAATTTTAGAGTTAATATACTTTATACTAGATTGATCACATCTCAAATAAAATCGTATAGATGAATATTATTGTAATACATGTTTAACATATAATTAATATATATAATAAACATTTTTATTTTTTATTTAACATATTTTAATTCTTACTTTTAACACATATATTACGTTGTCATTATTTCATATGATTGATTATTTCTGCGTAATGAATTGTATAATTATGCTAACATTTATACAGAAGCAATATTTACAAAGCATATCTAATAATTATTCTAGGCATAATAATAATATTATTTTATTATTATTTACAGCAAATCTACCACGCGCATTTCATCCCCCAGCAGCCCGCCATTCCACCGCCACATCCGGGTCCCCTGCATATCAAGGGAAATGACCATGTCACTAGACTACATTATGATGCTCCCCATATTGGGCATCCACATCTTGTCGGTATCGAGCATTACGCCCCCGCCCCGGAACCCGAAATCTCCATCATAAAGAAACACGGCTGGGCTTAAGAATCCCGTATGACGATGCCTCTTGATTAAACCCATTGGTCCAGAGTGGTCTATCTATACTGAAATGGCATTCATTCCCGAATCTTATTGATCATAATAATGACAGCAGACAACTTCGTCGACGACATAGTTGATTTTTCGCGAATCCAAATAACTTCAATTGAAGACGATCGTCAAAATCAGCATCTCCGAGGAATTTTCAGACCCTTAGGAGAGACAAAAAATCGTGGACCACTCACGGATCGCAGACCAGGCAGCCAAACTTAAGAATAAAACAAATTCGTCTTGATTTTACCCTTAGAACTACATATGACACGCCTTACACAAATATACATGAACACGAATATCCGCATTTTTTTTCTGTTCCTTCATCTTCCCCAATATCGAAATTCTCGTGCGGCAATTGTGATATTGAAGAAGACATCATAACATCAAAGAGAGCGTTTTCCCTTTTCCTCTCATTTCTCGGATCCCGTCCTATTTTTCTTCACTGTTCGCACCCCAACACTTTTATTTATTTTCTAATAAAAGTTAATTTGTGTACGTCTTGTGATAAAACAGAAATTACGTTGTTTATTCAATGACCCAGTTCCATTCTTTTTTCCCTACATTCTATCTCCGTTTTATTTTAATTTTTACTTGCTTAATGCTTACATTCATTAAGTTTTTTCTTCTTTTTCTTCATTTTTTTCTACTCTCGAAAGGAGTGATAACGATTAGTTACGATAACTGAGTCGGAAGAAATAAATTCCAGTACGATTACGTGTGAAACGTATGCAAGAACATAAATACATTGTGTAATATATTATTAAATGAGTACATGCTACACCGTTCTACAATTTTCATCTCAGCTTTTTTCAAGCCACATTCTCAAAGTCTCCACAAGATCAGTCAAGTGTAACAAGATACAGGCACTTGTTTACAAGTTAATATACTGTACGAGGTTGCGTTTAGAAGCTATATGAAAGTTTGTCTGTATTGCTTATAACGTAAACTAGGCCAGCTTGTAAACAGGATTAATTATTACTTAATTAAATTATTAGTTAAAAGTTTATTATGCAGTAAAGTTATTTGTTTTAATAACCGATATAGAATAAAATAATGATTGTATTTTAGTAGGTATCATGATACAATAAGTTATAGGTTGATATATTAATTTCAATACACCTCAATACGTAAATTTTGTTGTAACAAATGTAAGAAAATAGTAACAATTTTACGTTATAAGAATATCCACGTGCGCCAGTTAGATAGAAGAACGCGATATCATTTTTGTTCTTTAAGATTTTTAATTCATTCTTGACTTTATATTATTAAATAAATTATTAATTAAGTCGTTTATATGTATACATAGTATATATATATATATACATATATTGCTTAAATAGAATTAGATAATTAAAGAATGAAAATTAATTACGGTTAAAGCATTACAATTAAAAAATATTGCTGAGAAATAATGAAACTTATATATATGTATGTCTTAATATTTACACATATATGTTCTCAAGTTTATGTGTTTTCTGTAATCATTATAATAAAAAACCTATAAATAAAACAATAATACAAATTATGCAGTAATTTTCTCTTAGAAAATTGTAATAACATTTTTTGCGTAAAAAAGATAAATAAATTTTATAATTAAAATTAGATGATATTAGCGTAAAATTAATGTAGAAATAATTTGAAAATTAAATTATATATGCACATAAAAAAATCAGTAAAATATATCCCGACTAGCCTAAATTAATAACATTTACGGGAATCTTACGAGAAACGTCGTAATTCTTTAAAGAAAAAAAAATCTTAGCGATTGCGTGAATTACTGTCAATCTAATCATTGTAATTTAGCATCGCTATTTAACATGTCGTTCTTTATTCAAGTAAGGCATATTTTATCTCACATTTACATTCACACATACACATCCACTTACCGCGATTATTGTATGAGACTAATGACAGTGGCTTATTTGATGGTCCACATCATCTTCAGTATCAGTATTTTTAAGGGTGACACCATTGATATCGAAAATATGAGAAGCGTGACAAGGTGTGACGTCGCGGTTGGGCGGGCACCTAACAAGGGGGCCCGAAAGGGTGTCGGTCGCGTGGTTAGTGAAAGGGGTCTGTGTGACGTGCCCCCGCCTAACGCCCTGAGAGTGGGCCTAGACTTGGGCAGGGACCTGCTATAAAAGCATACCGCGTCGCCCCTTAGACATAGTGCTTGCTCGTATAACGCAAGAAAAACCATCGCTCGCCACCATGAAGTTCTTCGTAAGTTTTTCCCTTCACTCGCGACGACTTCGTCGCGTTGACTTCTTAGTTTTTATCTTCAACATGTCTTTTTATCTGCATGCAAAATTGTTGACATTTACTTAAAGAAAAATATTAAACCTTGTGCATATTTAATTATTTAATAATTTTGTCTTATTTAATGCATTGTTAAAATTGTATATCTTTTATTTGACATATTACACGTCATATTTTACTTCACTTATATCTTTTAGAAGTATCTATTTGTTTGATATCATTTCTTTTTATTTTTTATTTATTATTATATTATTGTAGATAAAGTCGATTTTTTTTAATTAAAACTTCTATAAGAAGTTTATAAGTAATTTTGTATATATTACATTTTATTATTATGTTAAACATTGTATTATATGTTCTCTTGTTACAGATTGTTCTGTTCGCCATTGTGGCGGTTGCTAGTGCTGTAAGTATTTCATAATTATTATTTTCAAAAGCTTAGTTCTAATAATGTTTTGTAATTCTTTTCCCTATCATATTTGGATATTATTATTTTAACAAATTCCAAGTTAATATAGTCTTTTATACAGTATAAATTACTATATATTATAAATTATTACTAAGAAATAATTTATTGGGTATATAATTTTTCATTATAATTATCCAGCAACAGTTGTATAATATAATTATTTGTTAACAAAATATTAAAGTGTTAAAAATTAAAAATGAAATTAATAGAAATGTTTTGAGATAATTAAGTATAATGCAAGAGCTAAAGAGTATCAGTATCTTAAACTTATCATTAAATGTTCTACTTAATTAAATCCGCATTATCTCCGTGTGTCGAAACACAGCTGCAATTGTATCAAATTGATCACGCTCGTTTGTGCAATTTCCGTCCCGAAGTTCCCAAGCATACTAAACTCCCTTGCATTCTCTCGCAGAGTTTCGTAATGGGAGATTATATTTCCTAGAGAAATAATAATTTTTTGAAATCATTAGATCTTCCGATCGCTTCAATTACCAATAACATGGATAAGTGAGAGTAATTGTTAATTGATTAATAAAACACCTTATCTTCTTTTATGTTTAGGGCCACTATGCGGAGCACATCCATGTCAATGGAGGGCCCGCCATTCCGGCTCCCAAAACTCTCCCGCTCGCCCTCCACGGTAACGACCACACCACCCGCCTTCACTACTCTGGCTCTCATATAGGGCACCCGCATTTGGTGGGAGTCGATCATTACATCCCGGCGCCGCATTTCGAGCCCCAGATCGCCAACGTGGCCGTCCACGGACACGGCTGGCATTAGATCCCATCACCTGAGCCAGCAGACCCGCTGGTCTGGAGTGGTCCACGCCGAACGCGTCATCCTGAGGCTGATATGAGGCAGCGAATTAGCAACCACCACGATTGGTGAACGTACAACGAATGAAATTTTTGTCGAGAGTTCCTTCTTTTATCTCTTCGGCAAGACGTTTCAATTCTGCGCGAGATCGCTCGCCGAAGGATTGTGGATGTCCGGCCCCAAATGGTCGAGAATCTCCGGTCCGAGGGTCGAGGATCACGGAGAAATACCGTTGCGACATTGCAATATATTGGCAGATCGAAATGGAATTCGACTGCCTCAGGATAGCTGCCATGACTTGGGCCACTCCCGAGGACCGTTCCCAGAAAGACCAGGCAATCAGACTTGAAAAAAGCCCCTCCCCCCCCACTCTCTCATCTTTTTTTCGTTTTACCTTGACACTACATATGACACGCATCGTACGAACATCAATAAATAATTAGGTCCTTTGGTCTACTCCCATTTTCCATTTCATTCCGTCAACATCGAAATTCTGTGTGTGCGGCATATTAAAGAAGAGATCATAACATCACACAGCGGCCATCTCTTCCTGTCCCTACTATTCGTCTTCCGGCAGCAACACTTTTATTTATTTTATAATAAAAGTCGATTTTTACGTCTTGTGATAAAATATTTGTTTTTTATTCGATTTCACCCCGAGTACACGATTATTTCTCGTAATTGCAAAATATCGCATTACGTCATGAAAGTTATTTAATTAGACTACATATGTATAAGATTAGATTAGAAAAGATAAAATGCCACAATGATAAAAAAGCAAATAACTTTGATACGAGAATTAGATTAATCAAAATAGAAAAAGATGTTAAAAGTAAAATTGTATTAATTTGAATAAAATTGGAGCAAATTCATAGTTTGTTTGATGTTTATTGAAGTTTATTGGATTGGAAACTCATTGGGAACTGCTAATGGTACAATATGTATCAAGCAAATCATGCAAAACAGCTCAATAGCGGGTTTGTGAACTCTCAGTAACGATTGGTCAAATAATACGTCAATTTCGCGTAGTTAACTCATTAATGTTGCTACTCAACTGTATTTCCATGGTTTCGATTACATAATTTGATCGCACAAACCGAAACTAGATTAACAAAGTACACTTTGTCGAATATAAAGCGGTCATAATATTTATTCAATGAGTACCGAGTGGCTTTGATATTCTTGTCTTTTTCATTCAACTATATAGCTTTTAGGATATGTCCATTTTGGGAAGAAATTTAAGTTTATAACTTAATCCTTATTCGTTTTGATCGAATTGCGTATCCGTCTGATTGCAATATCCATTTCGCGGGAAAGGTTCTTCTGGAAACTTTATGTAAACGGCTCGACTGCGAATCAATCTAACGTCGCCGAGCAACCGATAATCCAAACAGAGCCACCCTAAAGTCGGTTGTTATTCTTTTCGTCGCGCGGCTGGTGTCGTGCATCCGATGCCGCGATGCGAATCGCGCATGTTTACGTCACGCACATAAATAATCGAATTGAATATAAAATCTGCCGCAATCACGTTCCGCCGTCGTTCCGCATCAGCTGACATGCAGGGGAGGGACGTTCATTCACGTGGATCCTAGAAATGCATCGACGGTATCACGGATGACGACTGTCATTGATGCGTTTCGGTACGAGCTCGCTACATTGAAATTGTTCAATGAGATTTTCGCATGTGTGGTCTCTCAATTTTTTTAGTTATGTTAAAATTTAAGTACTTAAAAATTTCTCTCTCTCCTATATCTTCAGTTTTTTCTTATTGCACGGACTTTCAATAAATTCCTTTGACATCAATTGCTGTGTTCTATCAATTTTCGTAAGGATCTTTAATAAAAAGACATAAGTATGTTTTTCTCTCTCAAAATAACTAAAGCCGTCTTGTAATTACATTTATCGATGGTGATATAATTTGATGTACTGTAATCATCGATCATTATGTTGAAATAATTAATTTTAAATTCCTTATGATTATGTTCAACATTTTTGAGGATTTTGTTATAAAAATTACTTTATTTTAGTTAATAATTGATATCTTTATATTTTTTATTTATTTTTATTATTAATATCTATTTTAATAATTAATATTTTAACAGTATATTTTTCTCTTTGCAACATTTAAATTTTAATTACCTAATTATCTTATCATTATTTCTAAATTAATAATAGATATCCCTATTTTTTTGTATTTTTTAAAATACTTTTGTTTTACTAAATTATGTTGTTTTATTAATATTAAATTTGTTTTAATATAAATCTTATTTTATTTATCTAGATTTATTTATTACGAATGATGAGGTTTCGTTAAAAGAACGATGTCAAAAAGAATTCAATTTATTAATCTCGTTAGGTTCTCTTAGAATTGCTTGCGGTTGCAATTGCACCGCGCAATTTTAGCATCATGTCGATGTGCTTTTCTATGAGAGGTTTACGAGTGTCTTTACTATCCGTTCGATCATTCGGAAAACATTCTGGCTGCAGTTTGCTTCAAGTAACGATTGCGTAACAGGAAAGGAAGAATTATGCATTATACGTCGGCGAAACTGTTCTGCGGAAAAAGGGACACGATATCCGACTGCACGATCATTCTACCGATTGTATGTTCTTATTTACGCGATGATCGTTTTGCTTTATTTCTATCCAATTCGCGTATATTATGCAATAATTTCAGCATCGTGTTAGCGCATGCCAACGTTACGTTCTTATGAACTCTTATAAGGATTCTCGTATGCTTGCAAGAGAAAGCAAAATTTAGTTGCACTTTGTACATACATTTAATGAATACATACTTTTATTTAAAAAAATTTAAATAAATTTAAATAAATTAAATAAAATAAACCTGAAAAAGTTGTAATATTAAATCAAATAACTATCTTTTAAGTTTATTTAATTAATGGAATTTAGTTAATTAAAAAAATTAATTTAATGGAACAGTTTCAATATTTTCTTTCAGAATTTACTTAATTTTAAAACCTGTGAAGCTATAATTTTTAAGACTAAATTCTTTTCCAAAGTTGATTCTTTTTAATTTTTAGTTCAAAATATAGATTAAAAAATTATTCTTTAATAATTGATGCAAATCAGATAAAATATCCTATTAATGTCAAATTAAAATAGATGTGACGGTATCCTATTGGAAATTCTTACGTTCTCCAATTAATTTTCTGAAATGGCACGAGCGAATCATTTACATCAAAGTGAACGTTACCGCAGAATGTCGGAGAGTCCACGTTACTCACCCACCTATAATTATACAGCACGTTGCTCGGAGATTTTCAATTTTTTCGTTTGAAATATTAAAGCTCGAGAATGTAGAATACCAGCCAATATATATATAGAGAATAACGTATGAAAACGGATGTTTTCTTCATGAAACATTACTGCGAGCTTAGTTCGCAACGGTGCGTAGCCGACTGGCAAATATACAGTTACGACTGCTACGGCAATCAGGTACATTGCGAATTATTGCTTGCGACAAGCTTTTTCTGCATACGGATATTCGTTTCCTCGCGTTGCAATGACAGCGTAAAAAGAGAATTGTTATGGCCCCAAAATGCGATCACGCGAGATATGTTATTTATTACGATCACGAAGTCTCTTATTTATGCAATCTATTTTTTTTATTAATTTTATATCTCTTTATTAAACTAATCATTTCTTAATAATTTCCTATTAACTTTTATCTATCTGCAATATCTTTCAATTTTATTCAAATCGTTTTATTCAAATGTTAGTAAACCTTTGTTTATTGGTAACATCTCAATGTTAACTTTTTCTTTTACTAAATTCTTTCTAAAAAATTTTTGTACATATAACGTTTATTTTAATTCAAACAACTTTCTTTTGCTACTATGGAATATTTCATTCTTTCTTTTTTTAAGACGATGAGAAGAGAAAGTGATGAAAACAAGGCAATACCGTTTGCGTTATTAGATCGTGTAGATTAATTCGTATGTTATACGTATCTTGAGATTAGACTGATACTACTAAAATGTCTATGCATTTGAACCAGTTGGCAGAAAATGCTGCGTATCGTCGATTTAAATCGAGCCCCCGAGTTAATGATCACGCCCCCATGTCTGGTAATAATCATTCGAGCGTAGAGTTGACTAGCAAGCATGACACTAGTACCAATATAATAATTTACATGCACAGGCATTTAATTAGGTTCCCAGTCGCCTAGTCTGCCAGTAGCACATATTTCATGATGATAAATCTTGATTACTATCCCGACAAATATATCCCTCGATCAACTGGACGAACTATTAATGCTCCAGTTTCAATCGTAGTTAGATATGGATCTATTTGAATTTATATGGCAATTGGGAGATGCATTCGGTACGCTATTTTATCTTGACAGATTACACTATGATATGCATTGAATTTATAGCAAGTGGAACACTTTAATAACTTGCTTGAGAAGGAATGAAAACTTGAAATATGTTTTCAATTATTAAACTTGAAAAATTAGAATTATTTGCCTTTCGTTATTGCTTTTCTTATATTTGACTTCGTTTTAAGTCTTTGTTTCAAATTGTTAATTGTATTGTATTTTAATTAGAGAAGAATTTCTTTTCTGTGTTATGTTTTTTTAAGGATAAAAGATAGTTGAGATATTCGTGATGTCACCAAGAACTGTCGGTTTCCTTAATCGATTTATCTTTGTTTGTGAGGTTCTAATCGATTGTACACGTCATACTCGTGTCTTCGTCGTCTCGAAATCATAATAATTCTAGACGAGCAGCAGGTACCACTCGAAATAAATTTCCTTTCTATTGACCGTTTACCGAGGAACTGGAGCAACTTCTCCAATAACGGGAGCACAAATACGCGATCGCACGCTATCTATCCGATAGAGCGGTTGCATGAATAATGAATGCAGCGTGTGGTACATTACGTAGCACGCGTTGTTGCATACTTTCTCTCTCCGTAATGAACGTTTTTCTGCGATAAAACGTGTTTCCTCGGACGCCGCCCGCTGCACGTGCGCTACAAATTTGACACGTCCTGTCATTTTGATGTTCAATATATCTTAACTATGATATCAAGATGACAGCTTTTTATAACGTCAATTATGTGTGGTTTTAATCATCTCTATCAGTCCTTTTGATCTATGTGACTTTTATAATTAATGTGCAATTATATTGTTATCTATAATCGTTTTTTAGCCTTCTTGTTAATAATTTTCTAATTGTAAATTAATAAAATAATAATGTAGTTTATTTACACTTCAGCTTTACAAAAATTGCCAAGAAGGGGACTTGGTTTACAATATTTCTTAAACATTCATAACCCATACATTCTTGCGTAAAACTTTCCATTATCCTATCCTTATCCTAATCTTTATCCTAATAAAATAATAATGTTCTACACAACATAGTTAATATAATTATATATAACATTTTTCATCCTTTTCGTCATTTTATTTTACGTAAAAAATTAATTCTTTTATTAGGTACGTTTGTTTTATTGTTTTGTTATTTATGTGTATATATTCTAAAGTAACTAAAATTATATAATCACATGTGTTTATTATATTATTTTTATAAAAAATTATATGCATAGAACAGGGACATATATAATAATAAAATATGATATTATTTATTAATTTTATTTTATAGTAGTGGAAATATTATTTTTTAGATAATTTCAATAAAAAAAGATGCTCTCTTTGATTATAGCTTATATATTTTATATATTTGGCGTATGATTATTTTAAATCTTCGTTCTTGAGCTAAATTGGAAAGTACAATGAGATCTATATGCGACTAGAAGTTTGTAACGGAAGTACAATTACATAAACGCGTTTACTGTACTTTGTAACTACCTTGAGGAAGTGCATTTACGCAAGCGAAGCTTCCTAATAGCGCAGCTATAGCTCGCAGGCATGTGCTAACTTTGTCCGTACTGTATACCGTAATAATAATTGTTAATTGTTTCGTTTGTAATCCGATCACTATCACGATACGACTGATCGCGTGCGAAAGGTGTATTTCACTTTGCGCAAGGTGGAAGTAACGGAAATTGTTTCGAAATCATTACAATTTCATTTTTTCCTGCGGAAATTTAGTCGAATGGTGTGAAATGAAGTGGCTTGAAAGGAAACTGAAAGGCTTAGACAAGGGTTATTTGTTACTGTCACTGTTCATGTCTAGTTAACATCATTATTTTAATATAATACGTACAATTTAAATTGAATTTTAAAATATAATTCCATTTAATGGTACGATTCTATGATAACGTTAAAGTCTTAAATCTCTTTTTATTACTTTGTTCTATTTTAAATTATCATATACGGCTTTAACTTTTACGTATAGGTAAATGCCATTCACGAGACAAATCGAGCACGATTTCTAATTGACTCGTGACGCAGGCATAAATGAGCGAACGTAAATAATAATATTCATTGATTTACGATTAGTCAGCGTGAACTTCAGACAAATTACGGTTTTAAAAGAAAAACGATATTGTACGTCACGAAGTACAAGGTACACCCGCGCATTCATAGAACAAACATTATCTTTGCAAATTGTAGTAACCTTTTATTAACAATCACTGTAGCAGAAAAATGTAATTTCATTGTCTAATGCATAAGTATTTTTAATTATTTGTAAGCATTTTTAATTACTTTTATTTGTGCGATAAAATTATACAATTATAAAAGTTACAAGAACGAAAAAGTAGAAATATAAAAATTTTAAATACAGAAGTAATTTCTATTTCATTTTTTTACTCTCAGTGGAGTTCCTTTATTTATCCTCGACACAAGCCTCAATTATCGTATTTGATCGTATCGAAAGAGTTGAAATTCTATCAACGCTGGTGTTCAGAAAATACCGGGTGTCATTTATTTTTCACAGGCGCGTTACGCGTAGGTGTTATCACGGATGGTCGGAAGGGAAGATTGACGTTTGGTCGCCGTTGTTATTGGTTCGACGACGACGTACGACAAGAACCGCTGGGAAAATGTGAACGTATGGACATTCGACGTTGTCTGTCTGACTCGACTCGGTGTTCAGTGTCGTCAGTTCGATCCGGTCAGTGGGCCATTCAGCATGAACAACGAGCGCAGTAAGTTATATTTTTATACGCTAGCCTGTCTACCTGACTTTTCTTTTCCGGTGCACCACATGTACGTATATAACCCGGTAATGTTCCCATAGCTGGTGATACTTTAAAGTTGAAGTCAAGAAAAGTTTTCGCAGTTTTTATTACATTACGAGCCTGTTATTCTTGTTTTTCTAACTGTAGATATAATACTAATAGACGTATAATGGACGTAATAATGGAAAGATAATATGATAATGAACTTAATTGCAAAATTACATATTAATTTTTTGATTGTAATAATAAGTCTCTTCTTTTCAATTGTATTTTTTTATATTCAGAAATGAAACAAACGTTTATTAAGATAAATTTAATAGAAAAAGATTAGAGAAAAGTATTATTGAAAAGCCAGTTGAAATTTGCGTAAAAAAGGTAAAATCTAACTTTATCACTAAAATTTGTATTTTGTATTTATTTAATTAATATAATTATTTATATTGTGTTATTGTTTTTGTTATTAATAATATATAAGCATTATTTATTTAAAAATTTTATTATATATTATAATAACTAGGACCTAGTGCCCTTTTCTTTCCGAGTTCATTTTTGAATTGTACAGGGGTTTTTGTTATCCAAGAATTATTATATGTATTATGATATTAAAAATTATGTGAAAAGATTAGACATACATATATCTATTATATGAAAAGATTGATTCCATTTATTTAAAATATTTTGATTAATTAAAAGAAAAAGAAATTAATAATCGATTTATTATTCAAGACAAAACTTTTATTTTATTTTTTATTGTTTTTTCTTATTTATTGAACGCTAAGGTGACCTTATTTTGATAGTGCGATAACATAACTAGGCTATGTGCAGATAGATATCTACTATTAATGAATGTAGATCGCTCAATAATTTTAATATTATAAAAAATAAAAATTTAGGAAAGATTAATTTTTCCGATACAGTATTTTATAGTTTCTTATATAGTATTGTAAATAAAAAATATATTGTATGTCATAGAGAGATAATTAATTAATTTTTACAAATCTTTTACTTTTAGTGAATATAATTATTATTTAAATTTAATAAATTCTAAAAAATATTGCTAGAACGTTAAGATAAATTAAAAAATATTTAAGCTAAATATGTATACATATACATAACATTTTGTTATTTTAATTATACAAAATTAATGTATTTTTTAAATATATAATATTAATTTCCTTAATACATAAAAATTAATATTATTATACACACACACACACACACAAATGTTGTTTTTAAAAAATAATATATATACATATACTTGAAAAAAAAATTATTAAATTATAATAAATATTTCTTTGAATAGTTCTAGCGGAATATTTACTTACGGTAAATAAATATCTAGATAAATGAAAAAAATGATTGTATCAAACTAATGGTTCTTATATTTAATAAACATGTTTACATTGAACAAATATTACCCTAGAATTATTCAAAGAAATATTTAGAATTTAATAAGTGCGTTTCTCAGTATATATATATACATATATATATGTATAATAAAAAAAAATATTTTTTTAAATAAGTTAAATAATATTAAATAATATTAAATAAGTATAAATTAATGGATTTTTTTGATATTAAAAATAATAATAATATATAGGTAATGAGAATACTTATCTTTTTAAACATGCAGTTTTACGTAATAGTTGCTACTTTTTGAATTGATATCGTAGCTTGTCTCATTGATGGTTATTATTTTTATAATTTTTCTTTTTTCAGAGAGTGAAGGGTCCGTTTATTCGGTCGGAAGCCAGAACCACCTGGTGCCGATAAGATCTAGGAAAACCTTGTTAGTAAGAAAGCGAGATTGACAGTTTCCTTTCGATAATAATTTATTAAATTGCTTCATTAAATTGAGAATATATATTTGCTTGCTGCAAGTAAATCAATCAGAGTCTTCGCTAATTAGATCTGTTATGTTTATAGCTTCAAGAAGAGAAGTCAGATTTCCAATTCATCACTGATAATTCTTTACATTTTGGTGGGTGCTTTGTTTATAACGGTTGTGGTACTCGCTGTACTTTGTAAGTTTTTTCTTTAATATTATATACATATATGTAGTTATATAATTATATATTATATTAAATATACATTTTTTGAAATTATATTTAATCATTAAAGAAAAATATATATTAATATATCTTTGATTTTTTAACAAACAAAATATAAATTCGATAAAAGTAGTATTCAATATATATATACTCGTACTAAGAAAATAATACATGATAAAAATAATACACACAAATTAGAATTAAAATTGAAATATTTGATGTTTGTGTTAAATGCGATAGCGTCATTAGCTACTTTATGTTTCGATATCTTATATATGGTATAAGTTCTGTAACTATGAACTCTATTAAAATTATAGCAGGTATATATATAACTCTTAGCAGTAGGTATATAACAACCGGAAATACTCTTTATTTAAAAAGAAATGACTCAACTCTTACTGCTTTGATATATCCTTTTTGCAATTATACATCCTTGACAAATTATTGGGAAACCATTTAACATATCTTCGATCGCCATTGACATTGTGTAAATAATTTAGTGAACATGACTATGGATTGTGCAGCGTTCCACGTGTTGTTCCAAGGAACAACTTTATTGCGTGCTCATGATTGTTACTATGCGATAATCTATAGCATATTCTACATGACCGTGATTTCTAAAATTAAGTTATATATTTATTATGCAAAGCATCCCTTAGAATTACCGGACATTTTTTTAACTAAATTTTTTAAAATCTGGGAATAGTTTTTCCACGATAAAATTGAAAAATGTTTTTTAAATAATTAAATGAATATGTTAAAAATAAATAATGATATATAATTTGATTAAATTAATTTTAAAAATATAACAAAAAGGAATACTTAAATACATAAAAATATAATAAAAATAAAGATATATAAAAGATAATTAAGTGAAAATTAATAAGTAATATAGTTACTTATTAATTCAATTAATATATATTAAAAATCTGGAAAAATGCAATAAACTATAACTAAAATTAAATGTTCTTGAACGTTTTAAATAGTTAATAAATAATAAATTATAATAGATACATATTGTTGTTGCAGATGCGCGTAAAAATATGATGGAAATATGTGACAGCGAGGATTGCGTGCGAATAGGTAAGTAGTATACAGTTGTTATATTAATAATGCATAATGGGGTGATTATATACATTTGTACTATTATTTATAAAATTGCAAATAACGATAAAAAAAAGAAGTATATAGAATTACTGTCACGAAAACAATTATTTATTCTTCTTTATCTACTTAGCTGCTAGTTTGAAGGAATCTATGAACGAGTCTGTAGATCCTTGCAACGATTTTTATCAGTGAGTAAATTTATTGTCGTGTCAGCGCGGTAAGCGATGTGTGTGATCCTATTGTCATATACTGGTCGTGTGATACGCGTCTCGTAAAATGTATATCATACACAAAATTACTATTCATTCTTCAAATTTATTATTTCTGTATTACGCAAATACTACACTCGCGTATTTCGCTTTCACTCGTTTATATGAGAGATATTAATTGTATCACGAATTAATTCACTCTTTCAAAAATAGCAATTAACGTTGAATTTTATTATTATTAATCCACTTATTTAATCCACTTATTATCATTAATCCACTTATTTAATTAATTTATAAAGCTATTATATATTTTATCTTCGTGATGCGCTTGCTTTGCGATGTTTTGTTTCTTTTTTTTTTTTTTAGGTATGCGTGTGGTAGATGGCCGCAGGAGCATCCTATTCCGGATTCCAGCCTGACAAATTCCTGGTTCAGCGAGCGCAGTGGTCGCATGTACAGAAAGATCAGAGATCTGCTAAAAGTCAATATGTCTGCAAGTGAGGTACCATGGGCAGTGATGCAGGCCAAGACTCTATTCACCAGCTGTTTGAACTTGTGTACGTTACTGTTTTTGTTTAATTAGGTAGATGTCAAAGAAACAAACGCTATAATCAAAAACATATTAATTAAAATCTGATATATATATGATACACAAATAATAATTAATAATAGTACATGTAAAATATACATATTGCAAATTATATTTTAATGTTATACAAATTATCCTTTAATTTTGAATATTTCTTATTAAAAGATAAATTTCAGATACCATGAATGAACAGTCCATGAACGATCTGTCTCCATTGTTCGACTTGTTGAAGTTATTAAATTTACCAATGGTACCGTTTGTTACCAATAAAACGACTAATTACATCGAACAACTTGCCAGCGTAAAGAGAACTTTGGGCTATGATATTTTCTTTGGCTTTGAGGTCATACCCGATCCAAGAAACAAGAGTAAGAACATACTTTATTTCCACCTACCGATTCGTTCCAATCCTTTTCTCACGTACGTATACTTTTATATAATAATACATCTCAGATTATTATTTGTAAATATTTTGCAAATTACTTAATAATGTAATTAATATACATAACAATAATTTTTTATTATAATAATAATAGTGATCAAGAATTAGAGAAGCGGCTGCAAACCATTAGATCGCGATTGCGAAAATTAGATGAGTTAGATGACGAAGCCATGTTGAGCGAGGACGAAGATGCCGAATTTACCTACATGGCAGATGTTATTAAATACGTCATTAACAATGGTACTGATGATAAATGCACCTCAGATGAATCGGTATATGAAGATGAAGAATTGGAAGAATTTGTTAAGGGGGTTTACAATATTAGCAATCTTTTCTATTACGTAAGTATTTTTATTAATAAGAAATTCAGTCTAGTGTGACAATAAGTGTAAAAGTGAAATGTAAATATTTCGATTTTACTTTATATTATAGGACAACAAAATATGTTGAGAATTTATGGTTCAATCTCTTTTTATATTTATATTAAAACACGTATCTTTATGTCAATTTGTTTATAGCTTTTAATATGCACAAATTAATGTGTACATTTATTTGAAAATTTACTATAAATAATATAAATTAAATCTACTCTCTAAATCTGAATCGGTGGATAATCACTGATTATTCAGTGCCAAATATGTCATTGGATAATCAGTAAATAATGGCATACTTGGTAATGATATTAGCGATTATCCACTGATTCAGATTTAGAGAATAAAAAATGCTTTTGCGTAAACAAAATTGTTAAAATAGAACTCTATTTTTATCATACTCTGTAATATTTGTTACAAAATTTTATTTTAAATGCAATTCCAAAATTAAGATTAAGATTTTAAAAAATATTATATATTCAAAAATTAAGAAAATATAAATCTATATATATTATACAATATATTCAAAAATAAAAAATATATACAAGAATTAATTTTTTCGATAGATGGTTCGTGCAGATCGAAATCATAGTATTTCCATAGAAAACTTAAGCGATAGTGATTATATGCTAATAGACGATCTACAACAATTGACAGACGATTATATAATAGATAGTAATTTATCTCTCACGCCTACACCAATTTGGCGGCCCTTTATTGAATCCATTTTTGAGGGAATCGTTAAATTGGATCTTGATAACAATGACAAAGTCCTCGTTGGTAATCTGGAGTATTTGAAAGATGCTGCATTACTATTAGCTTGTTTTGAGGAAGAAGCTCTAGGCATGTATATTCCTCATTTATAATATAATCTTAATTAAATTAATTATATTATTTTTGTTGGTATTTCAATTTAGTATTTACTTTAAGAAAATGTTTACAAAATTCAAATTAATACCGATTTAGAAAGCTACATTTGGTGGACCATTGTGGACCTTGTAGTGCCTCACTCCACCGAAAGGCTCAGGGATATTTGGAACAAATACGTTAGAAAGGTAACAGACGTGGAAGTTATAGGCGAATCAAAATCGTTAGTCTGTGCATCAGTTGTCAATAAATTAATGGGTATCTATTTAAAACTTCAATAAATCTTTTCGTATATAATAAGGGAAAGTTGCCTATATCGTACTACTTAACATTTAAATAAAATTATAATAAAAGTACTGAAGAAATTAGAATATTTCTGCACTTACCTCAAACTTTAGTTCATTTATAAAACAAAACATTCTTGCGAAAATAAACATTGAATTATTGTTTAAATTAAGATTAAAAAAAGAAGTAGCTTTTTTGATACAATTTGGAGACCGCGTCATTAAATTATAATATCTTATTCTTAAATCGTACTAATAAACAAAATCATCAGTTTACAAAATAAGATTTAAATTTGTTAAAAATATAATAAATAATTTTTAATAAGATATCTTAAAAAGATTCTATACAATCACATATTTTTTTAAATACAAATATTAAAATATAGTTATTATAAAGTAATTGTAATCTGAAGACCCGCATAGCAGGTAGTCAGGTAGATCAGCACTGAACAAAATCAATTTTGAATGTCATTCGTAAACAGATAATCGCTCGAAGATAAAACAAAAATGATAATGCTTAAGCTATATTATTAGCATCATATCTGTCGTTTTTAATAAAAAATCTATCATTTTTAAGAAAAAATATTCGTTTAGGAAATATAATAGAGGTACGATTTAACTGTCAGTATGACTTAGCCAACTCCACCCTATATTCAACAAATACACACACACACACCACACACACGCACACACACATCACATTTAATTTTTTCTATAATTTCTTTTTATAATTTAGATTATGTAAGCATATCTTCGCAATGTATCTTAGAAGTTTTCCATTAATGGTGTTCATTGATTTCCAGGAATGGCTGTATCGTGGCTGTTCGTAGATCCGACATTTCACGATAATAAGATTAACAAAGTAGAAGAAATGCTAGAGGATATAAGAGAGGCATTTGCTTCACTTGTCGCTAAAACGAGTTGGATGGATCAATCGACTAAAACGGCAACACTTAAAAAAAGCAAAAAGATGGAATACGAAATTGGATTTCCTACGTGGCTTTTTGACGAGGAGATGCTTGATGAGTATTACGAAGGCGTAAGTTTTGTGAAAAATTAATATAGTAATTATAAAACTTTTCTGACAAAACGAGTGAAAAATCTGTTTTGTGAAAACGCATTAAAAATTTTTCATTTAATTGTATTAATTATATTTATATACATTTATTTACGTTAACATTATTATTATATATACATATCTTTATGTTTATTTATTTTATCTTACAAAGTAAAATTTAACATTATTTATGTGTATAACATGGATCAATTAATGTTTAGATAGACCTAACGGAAACAAAATACCTGGCGAATATGGTACAAATCGTTCAAGTGCATTTGAATAACACGTGGGCAAGCCTACACGACTATAATATGTTCAACGAGTCATAGTAAGTAAGAAATTTTGAAAATTGTTATCGGTAACAATAAGTACTAAGGTTTTCTTTTTATTTATGCTTCGTTTTATTATGGATGATTAGTTGGGCAACTGATCCTACTGATGTAAACGCATTTCACACCTTTCAACTTAATCATATAAGTATGTAACAATTTAATTCTTTATTATTATTAAAAAATTATTAACGTATATGCATTATAAAAAGTATAATATAATACATATAAAGAATATAATCTTACATATTTCCATTATAAATTATGTAATTATTTATTTTTTCAAATACTTCTTTACGATATAAATATATTATATTGTTAATAATCTGTTTAGTTGAAGAAACTATTTTTTCTAATTGTTATATCAATGGTGCATTAACATATCTTTTTTCTTTTACTATTCACACATGCAGCTATTCCTGCTGGAATTCTTCAATTCCCATTTTATGAATTGGGTCTTGAGTAAGAATAGGAATAATTTACTTTCATTATTATTTTGTATAAAAAAATAATACAAAAGTAAATAAACAAATAAAAAATAAATGTAGAGAATAAATAGTAGAAAGCATGAATTCTTTGTAAAGTCATTATATAATGAGAGAAAGAAAAAAGATTAGCATTTTTTTCAATGATTACAGGGCTTTAAATTATGGTGCCATCGGCACAATACTTGGACATGAATTAACTCACGGATTCGACACTAACGGTCGGCTTTATGACAGCGACGGAAATCTTCGTCAATGGTGGACCAATGAAACCATCTCAGAATATTCGGACAGAACTCAGTGTTTCATAGATCATTATAGCACTTATTACGAAGACGAGGCAAGTCTAGTAATCTTATTATAAGTGTTTCGTATTAAAAAAGTTTATTTAATGAGACTCAACGTTTAAAGAAATAAAAGAAGTAATATAATGAAACAATAAGAGGCTGTTCAAGTATTAAATAAATAAATATTTCTAAAACTTTATTTAAACGTTATTCAAATTTTAATTAAAATATTTAATTATCAGGATGATACGTTTTATACATACATACATATATAGCTTATCGTAAAGTTATATCCTAATCTGTAAGGTTTAATTTTTTATGTAAAAATTAGTTAGTTTTAGTTTTAGTTTTAAGAAGTTGAGTGACCTGAACATGTCGATGAGTTAATGATACGTCTTACATAGGTCGACGATTACATCGACGGTGAACTGACCTTGGGAGAAAATATCGCCGATAATGGTGGCCTTCACGAAGCTGTCGTCGCCTACAAGAGATGGAAGGCTCGGCACGGTCGTGAGGCTTTACTTCCGGGATTCACGCAATTTACGCACGAACAGTTACTTTTTCTTTCTTTTGCGCACGTAAGCCAACATTCCAATTATAACATAATAGTCCACGTCTCAATCATTATCTATGTTTAGGTATATCCGAATTAAAACCTCTTAGATTTTTATGAAATTTTCGAACGTTCAAGTTGGTAAAATAAACAATTTAGCAAATTAATAATAAAGACGTTTTAAGTGATATTATAAACACTTTTCGTTTATGTATCAATTTCCATATTTTTATCATTATCAGTTTAACATGGGAAAGAAATCGTTTTTAATCGTTATTCGTCCATTTTTAAGTTAGGAATTTAATGATAAAATTGTTGTTTTCTTTAAATAGTAGAAAAACAAATGTATGGAATTCCCAGACTTGTCTAATTCATATTCAAATTAAACGTATATTTTTAAATTGTAAAATTTTTTGATGATTTGGTAATCAACAATTTATAGAACTAGTTTATAGAACTAGTTTCATCACTGCTTGTTTTTAATTTGCTGTTTTATTTAAATTTTAGTTTAGTTGTATGAGTTAAATAAAAATTAAAGATGACAAAATCATTAAATCAACAACAATAAATTAGCATATAATTTTCATCTAATAACAATTTATTGATATTACTTGCCTAGAGTTTATTACCTATAATTCAATTTTTTTAATCTACTTGACTTTTAAGCTATTCACGTATTGAGATTATTTCTCTATATAATCATATAGCACATGTGTAATGAAAACATTTTCGCTTTTGTTTAATAGATATATATATATCGCATTTTTATTAAATAAGTTCTTTGTAAAAATTGTTTTTACAGTCATATGATTTACGGGTAAATGTTTATTATTTTATTATTTCAGTTATGGTGCGAGTCTTATACTGCTAAGTCATTAAAGTGGATGATGGAAGATTCTCATTGTCCCGGCCATGTGAGACTTCGAGCTGTACTAAGAAATTCTAAAGAATTTAGTTCTGCGTGGAATTGTCCAGCAGGATCAACCATGAATCCATCGAAAAAGTGTCGTTTGTGGTAAAACTTTGACAAAGACAATGTTTGCTATTTAATACTGTTGATTGATCAAATATTTATAATTTATAAAATCAGTAAGCTCACGTGCAAAACAATAACAATCTAGCGTTAATTAAAACAATTAATTTTTTATCTTGTGAGACTTATGGCAAATTTTACAATAATGCAATATTTAATAATAAACAGTAGTTTTTTATGCTCTCTGTGTTTACTTCGAATTTAAATATAAGATAATTACTACATATATAGATTTATAGAGTTTTGTGTATAAATCGCTTTAATTATTGTTATTCGTTTGTTACATAGCATGTGACGAATTATTTTTATGTAATTCCATAAGATCTTTTGCACTGATCGTTGAGAAATTTAAAAGTGGTCCAATAATGTTTATAATAAAAGAGTTTTATTTACATAAAAAAAGTATTTTTGAATGTCCTTGTAATCTTAATAACGTACGTTATTTTAATCTTAATAATGTTTTAATAATTTTTAAATGTCTTAATCGGTATCTTTCTCTCTCTCTATCTTTAATTTTGTGTCCTTCCGATTGCATAGATAGAATCTAAAATTATATTAAGTTGCTATACATATTTTAATGTTTTATTCCAACTTTTATCTTGTTGTTTCCATGATTGTAATATTTATTTATATTTATTTCTGGTAAAGATAGAATGTTGATGAAGAAGTTTCTTTTGTTTTTGATTTTATTAGTATGCATAAATGTTGCATAGAAAATTATTTATAAGAAATTTAATTCTAGAGGTATATTGACATTAGAAATAAAATAAAAAACGCGAGATTGTACAACATAACTAAATATTGAAAATTTCAATAATTATATATATATGTATATGTTTACAGAATTATGTAATAAGAAATTCAAAAAAATATAAAATAAACATTTAGAGAAATTTATTTATATAAATATTAGGTTTAAGTATTAAAATTATAAACTATTTAATTTTACATTTGTGATTCTCTAAAGGCTTATAAAAATTAAATAACAGAAATGTTATTTTGATTATTTTAAGTAAAGTACCATTAAAATATAAGTTAAAATTTCTTTAAAAAATATCTAGACGCTGATAGGGTACTTAAAACTCGATAGTTTTATAGAAATTTGTTTATTTCCATGTTATCATTCATGGTTAATTATCTATGTAAATGATGACGCGCATAAAAAAATTTGGAATAAAGTATATTATTATACATTGTATAAATATATACTTATTTATAAAACATCTACATAATCATAAATTTAATATTTTATTTATTAGATTGATAAAAAGAACAGTCAATATTTACATTCTTCAATTATTTTCAGATTTACCGAAATCACTTGATAAACATGAAAATTTATCCACAGATTGTCGTTTTTAATAGTATCTCTAGTTGGTACCTAGGAAAAGAAAGACTTTCCCAATAGCTTCGATTCAATCGAAGATATGAGTATCATCAGGAAAGTAACTAGTGCAAGTTTTCAAGTATTTTTCTTTTACTTATGAAGTTAAGTATCAATCAAAATAATCTATTATAAAAGAAAAAGCACAAGCGAACTTTCCGATCGATTTGACACTTCAGGGATAAGTCGTCGTTGAGTAATCTTTCGTGTAATTATGTATCTCTACTAAGAAATTCCAGTAGCTTATTCAACGTTCATTACAAGATAAACATTCTAGTATACGTAACCACCATTGGCATCGGTGGGTTGCACATATTCTTGTTTGTTGCTTGTGGCAGAAGAAACAATACATCCAGCACACGCGGTGGAGGGCTTGTATGCTTGTTTGCTCGGTTGCACGACGGCGGGTTTGAACGGCTTGACCGTGATGGTTTCAACCTTCAGCGCTGGATTGTCAACTGTAACCGAGTCGCTGCTGATCGAAGAGGGCACGCTAACCGGGGCGGGTTGCTGAGGTAGGAACGGAACTGAGGGTAAAGACGGAAAAGAGGGCGGTACGAAAGGCAGACTGGGTAACTCGAAGTTCTCGAACGGATTCTGGAAGCCTTCCAGAGGACTTGAGAAAGTCGGTAGGTTTGACAGCACGTTTTGGAACGTCAACTGGGAATTGTCAAAGAAGGTCTGTACTGGATTAGCCTTGGTATCCACCGTCACGTGATGAGCAATTGGATGAACAATTGGATGAGCAACTGGATGAGCAACTGCATGAGCAACTGGATGAGCAACTGGCACACTGGTTTTTACGTAATGGTGAACGGGGTACGGTACCGGACGGGGTATTTCCACGGGGTACGGACGATCTACGGTGACCTGAACAGGCTGGGGCACGCGAACGTAGTAGGGTTTAGGAATCTCGACGGTGTGCGGGATTGCAACGGGAACAGGGACGTGCTTGGTCACCGGTACTTGATACGGGTGAGGTACTTGCACTTGCAGATGGTGATCCACGGTTTTCAGGGGTATGTTGTTGTACGAAGAGTACGAGGCATAGCTGGGGAAAGTGTTGATAGAGGAAAATAAGGAGGACACGCCTGAAACAGAAAAAATATTACATTTTTAAATACATTTAATTCATCTTTTATGTGTAGAATTTTATTTATATAATTATTTTTTCCTCTAAGGCTATATAATATAAAAAAATGATCTGTCAATTCTTTATCTATAATTTTTTGAAAACGCAAATCTTTACGGCAATAAATTAATTATTGCCGATTAAATTAATAGTAAACAAAATAATTATAATTAAACAAAATAAAACTGATAAATAAATTACCGATTAAATATATTTAATACTTATTTATCTATTTTTAAACATTAAAAAAACTTTTTACTTTGGTTTCTCCTAAATTACGTAAATCTGTATCTTTCACACTAGATACAAAAAAATGTAGAATTTAAAAAACCGAATTTAAAGAAATATAGGTTTCTTTTTAATCGAAAATAAAGTGAATAAACACTGAGGTTAAAGAAACTGTATCCAATTATATAACATAATAAATATTCATATGTTAAGCATAACGTCTTTGCATACATTTTTGATGAAAGGCGAGCAAATCATTTAGACCGTGACAAGTGTTTTCACATATCATCTCAACATTAGTCGAGCGTTAAAATATTTCTACGTGACTCTCGTATTTGACCTCGAATGGCAAATGTTTGGACCGTTATGAAAACTCAAAATATCTTTCAAATATCTTATGTAACTTGGTGTAAACGGTATTCACGTTTTTACAAGTCTAATGTAAATTTAGAAGAACAGCCGTAAATTCTCAACGGGTGCGGCACAACTGAAGGAGATCGTAAATTCTTGGTAGATCAATGCTCACCTTGGGTCTCAGTGGGCAAATGAGAAGTCGTCACCTTCACTTGCGGAAGGGAGACAGTTTGCGAAGCGGTTTCCACGTGCTTGTGAACACCCGTTGGGTGCTCTGGAATTGCGGTTTTCTGCACATGCACAATGTCGAATTTCGGATGTTCCTGGATGGTCGTCTATGGAGAATTCGATATTTATACATGTATTTAAAAATTGTATGACAAAAATGTAGAATACTAATAATAAATACATATATTAAGAATGAGCGCAATGAAAGCATAAAATTTAAATTTTGCTACGATGCCAAAAAATCAGAATTCAGCATCAAATTAAAAAGATATTTAAGATTAAAGTAAAAATAAATAAGCTGCAAGATAGAAGATAACAGATGCACAACTAACACATAAATTAAGATTTCAAGCAAATTAATTTATAAATTTCTGTCAAGTTATGATTGTGAAGAAACGAGATGATCGATATACTATACGTACCTTTATAGCAGCAGAGTTTTTGTCATCAACGGATCCAAGAAGATTGGTAAAAATCTATATAGAAAAGCAAATTCTAGTTAATACTACGATTCATTAAGTCATAAATTTTCATGTATACTATACCTTTAATAACGAATTTTAATGACTTTACTGTAAGGAGAATAAATAATTTTATAACTCTTTTACCCTTCTATCAGTATGATATTTATATAAATCCAACACGATTGAACAATTCTGGTGAGCTTTTAGTTACCTGAGTAGTATCGGGTATTCCGTAGGAGGTAGCTGGCACGAGGACGGAAGGAGTTTTGTCAGCATCACTGGTTGCGAAGAAATCAGTTCCCAAAGGCTTGCCGGGTACGTGGCTAGGTGGTCCATAGGTTTGCTGAGGTTGTACCTGGAATGAATGGTCCTCTGTGTCGTCTGGAACCGTGTAAGAACCTACGTAGCCGCCGGCGGCTTTCAAGATTTGTACCTCATTTTCGTTCCCGTGATGATGATCGTGCTCGGTTCCGTAACGTGGATCGCCCGGTAGGATGTCCCTCTTTTGCTTATCAGTTGGCACTGCTAGAGCTGCCGCGAAGCAAACCTGAAAATATAACGTTTGGCATATATAAGTAAAACATAATAATATAATTATACAGTTTAGAAAGTATATAATACAGTATTTTATTGTCTTCATATGTGTTACATATATTTATCAAATATACTATATATTAATGAAATAGAAGATAAAGTCTTTTTAGAGGTGTTTCTTAATTGTTTACATTATTTATATTACTCTCGTTGACAAGCTGACGGAATTCTTTTCATTTATCGTTTTGCAGTTTGTTATGCAATTTTAAATCGGCTTCGGCAATTAAATTTAAATATTATGAAATTGATACGAGATTCACGCATTTTAATAAATGCAAAAGTATCTGACTTCCACGTGTCGTCTACGACATTTCGCGCAATAAAATGAAATTTTTTGTATCTCTTGAAAGATCACAAAATGCAAATGTGATACAATTGACAATTTACGGTAGAAGTAGGTCATAATTTATTTAATACATAATTAACAATTTCTTATTTAAAAAAATGTTACATAATATATTTATTTTCTTTAACATAAATTTTTTAAATTATAATATTATAATACATTATTTAAAAGAAATTTACTGTTTGCCATTCTTTAATATATATAAATATTATTATATTATAACTTTATGCTTTTGTTTTTATGTTCTACACTAAACTGACTTACTAATCTCAATTTAGGAAACCAAATTGCAAACAGATTTCTCCTAAATTGTATTTAACTTTTTAATAAAATATTGTAGAGGGAGGAAGCCCCAGAGAAAATTGCAAATTGAAAATAATGAAAATGCCGCAAAATCGTTTCGTGAAACTTGGTACCTATAATCACAATTTTGGAGATAAGAAGACAACGGAAGTGAGGCAGTCTCTTACCACAATCGTGAACAGGAGAAGCTTCATGTTAGCCGTATGATGTCAGGGCGATGAGTTGAACATCTGCCTGGAGACATTTCGATCTTTTATACTTCGGAGTCTTCCTCCCCCCAAGACGATCTTCCTCCACATGTCGCAATCCGGTGGCATTGGCAGAACTAGATTTTTTAATTTACTCCACCAACTTCTCTCGCACACTCGCTCGCTCAATATTCTTTGACACTGTTCTCCGAATTTTTGAATAAAAGGCTAATGCGAACATTTTAGCGACGGTTGCTCTCGCCGTTATCTTTTGTCAACCAGTCTCTGAGAAAGGCGCACATCTTTCAACAAGCATTCGGTTAAAACCAACTTCATGAAAATGATCGCGCTAATTTATGCAAATCGATATATGTCAGTTCCACACTCCGCGGATTTTTACAGTCCATTGATCTTTCGAGTTTTCTTATTTTTTCTTCTTTTTCTCTTTCTCTCGAGATACGATTCAAATCACAGTCGCATATCTCCAAATACGAGACATTATCACTGAAAGAAACATGGAAGGCTTTTAAGGATGAAGAGCGAATGAGCGAATTTTCGTAAGGCTTAATGGATCGCATTGCATTGATCAAATCGATTTCTGCATCAACCTTTAATTACAGTACTGATGTATTTTTCTTGTTGGCTGATTGAATGTTAAACCACTCTCTCAATTATTTTGATATATTATGTATGACTAAGTGATGATTAGCTTACTTCGTTATAAAACATGAAGATAAATCGATGTGATTAATCATTTCTTAAATAATCGGGCTTTGTGTCATTCTCATGTATTCTTGAAAAAATTATTCTATTTATATTAAAAAATAATAACAATGTTAAAAGAACGACAGAAAGTTAAAAGTTTGGAAAAGGGAATAGAATAAAATAAAGCATTTATAATATGAAATATTTCAGAGTAGATTTTAAATTAATAAAATTTAAACAAAAAAAAGATAAACTTTTATTTAATAAATTAATTCTGAAATTATTAACACAGAGTAAATTTCCATAATAAATTTAACATTATAATTAAAAGTGCAAGTGTTTTGTATAATATAACTGTAACATGTAAGTTAAAAAACTGTGACATGTAAGTTAAAAAATAGAACAAGAGAAATAAATGATAAGTGAATAAATATTTCATAGTTCAAATATACTTTTTTATTTTCATACATACACACACACACAAATAGTAAGTAAAATATTATTTAAAGAATAAATATTTTACAAAAAATAATGATTTTATTCAATTTTCTAAAAATACATGTATGTTCAAACAACATATATAATTCGAACATTTGCCTATTCATTTATTATATTTTAATATAATTTTATGATTGCCTTTTAAATGCGTTAAGCTTTATTAACTATTTTTTTATATAAAATTGTAATTAAAGAATATTATTAAAAATATGTAAATTATTTAAACATTAAATTAAGAAGTATCCGAAACATTATGCTCATGCATTAATTATAAAGTATAGTTCCTTGACCATTTTATTATAGATGACTTGACATTTTCGTTGAAAAAGTATCGATTGCAAATCAATCAAAGAATTTATTATAAAAAGCATTTTTTCTGATTTTGAGACACACTTTATGAATTATAGTATTATAAAGTATAATAGGTAACTAAAAATTATATTCTGAATAGATTGACTAATAAATAATTATAAAAATATATAATTATATATATGCACATAATGTAAAATTTTTATACTTTTTTTAATATATTTTAAAAACAGCAGAATATTAAACAGCGATTATTACATATATACACACACATATATATATATGGTATAATAGTAATAATTATTCATAATTATAAAAATCTACTATTTTTTGGAAAAAGATAAAAAGGTTTATAAATGTGGAACCCTATTAATGACACTCTGCTTTTTTTAAACAAAAATTTGAAACAAAAGTTATAAAGTCCAAATACCGTCGAGAAAACAAAGCTGTTGCTTATAAATTGGCAATTTGATAACGATGCATTAGAAAATTCTTTTGTAAAACATATATGAAGTCACTAACCATATCGGTACACACAAATATGTATATGTATAAAATGAATATAGATAACTTTTTACATAAAATTTTGAAATTGTATATTTTAAACATATTTTTTCTCTCTATAAATTCGTCGATATCGCATATCTATTTTTAATTAACTCGGAAATAAATAAACATCTACTTTTGTAATAAAAACTCTTTGTAATCTTTAATAATTATGTATTTTTTAAATAATAAGAAATTTTATTTATTTTTTAGAAAAAACAATTTACTATTTTTTAAATTAAAGATTAATGTATTTAAAAACATTCAATTATGGAAAATATTTTGTTAATTAATAAATTAAAAATTAAAAGTTCAAATAACTGTTTACATTATTTATAACTGCTCATATACCTTTTTATTTTTCTTTCGTCTCTCAACTTACAAGTAAAGGAAAACGTATGAGAAGAACTTGATGTAAAAAGATTAAATAGTATATGACTGACATGTTCAGAGGAAATGCGTTCAAAAGATGTCAAACAAAATCAATACACTCAGCTTTCAGATGCAGTTTGCATAAACTGACCCGAAAGCTAATTGATATGCTCTGGTGGTCTCTTTCTCGATTGAAAGGAGATGATAAAATGATAAAAACGTTGAAATTTGCTATGGTCGGTGACACCTTAATCTTCTCCTTTAATCTTCTTCGATCATCTTTAATCATTCTTAATACGAAAACATAAAAGTAAAAAGCATATAAATGAATAAATAAATAAATAAGTGTGCGTGTGCGCGTGTGTGTGTGTGTAGTTTATTTTATACCATTTTAAATTCGGAATGGAAAAATTTATAATGTGTTTTGTTTGAAAAGTTGTTTAAATTAATATGAAAATAACTAAGTGTTATATAAAGTCTTCTATAATTCTTAATTATCTAATATTAATTTGCTATTTAATACAATTATATAAAAAAAAATGAAATAATCATTAAATTTTCGAATTTTGCAAGAAATAGTTTATGTGGATCGTCTTTAATAAAATTTGCAAAGATAAGAATAGTCTTCGGAAAGATTTTGTAATCGAGATGCACCCTTGAGAAGGTAGAAATTCGACACACGCTAATAAATTGACCGCTGAGAGATTGGGCATTTTTATAATGAATAATCGCATTAATTCAAGGCTTCGGGATATTTTTTCTCGATTCTTTCTCGTGCTAAGGATAGTTCTGACATAAATTGGATAGCATAATATTGTTTAATTTATTAATCTACCAACAAGTTAGCTTTCTTTATATGAGCATTCTCTTACGACAATTTGTGATACTATTATATAGTTTTCATTAAAAAGAAAACACGACAATATGATATTTTAAGATATTATTAGCATAACATTAAGATTTGATTTACCATCAAATGTCCAAATGAAGATCAAGAGATCTATAAATAAAATAGCAAAGAGATATTTATAACACATATAATTTACGGAAAAAATAATAGGAAAACAAAAAATAAGGCGACAATGGATTAAAAATCTACATATTTTCGTAATACGTATGTACATAAATTAAACCTACTCGGTGGTCACTTCGCACAGGCGAGGACAGATCTTGTAGAATCGATCGGCCGAGTTACATCTTTTTTACGATCGTAGCGATAAAGTTAACTGTGCAACCTTGGTGGCAACTCATCTCTGCCGAAACTTGTGATATTTTGATCGCATCCGGTCAGACTCGTTTATTAAAAAAGGAACAGTTTGAAAAAAATATTACAGTAGTTTTGTATTCCCAATTAATTAATCTCAACTCTTCGAGAAGAGTTGCACAATTGAAGAGAGGTTAAACTTTTCAGACTGTTTGAAATTGAAATTTTTAAAAAGGTAGTTCGTGCAATATCCATAGTTTAAGAAATGGAAGTGGACAATTTCGTAAGAACAGAGTAAGTGAAATTTAAAAAGAAAAATTTAATAACTTAATAATTATTAATCAATTAATATATGTAAATAAAAACATAATAATTTTATAACAAAAAATAATGACATAAGTAAAATTATAATAAATACTTTCTAAATCTCTAAATCATTGGCTGCGTTCAGGATAAAAAACTGCTTTGCAACTGTTGTAAAATTCTTTAATATGATTCGTCTTGCCCTTAATTCCTCACTGAATCCAAATGTATAAACATATTGAAGAATTTTACAACAATTGCAAAGCTGCTGAATGCAGCCTAATTACTGATTATCCAGTGGCACATTTAGGACTGCAGATGTTAGTGATTATCTTCTAATTAAGATTTAGAGATTAGTATAATAAATAAAATTAATGCAAAATTTGCATTAAAAAAATAAAAACATTTGAATTACTATACCACTAAATCAGTGCAGTGAATATATATTTCAATTTAAATTGTTACACAATTCGTTACATCAAATCAAGATGTCGCTCAGACGTGTGAAAGTATTAAGAAGAATATGTAAATCAAGACAGCGCTCTCAGACACACGCGGTCAAACCGGCATAAATGGCATAATGCATAATGGAAGTAAAAAAAGAACTGGATTATGTAAGAGGGGCACTTAACGGACTTTGACAACGGGATTTGTTGAAAAGACGACATAAGGCGATTATTTTTTAAAAGATGATATAATACACGATATAAGAACATGTTACAGAATTGTTGCAGATTTTTTATGAATAAAATTTGAATTTTTATTCCAATTATTTTTTGCGGTGCTCTTGTTTACGCGCGTTAGTGAATAATATACGTAGAATATGTTTACAAGATACTACTAGCGAGAATTCATGAAATTCTGAGCATATTCTTTTGTTATTTTTGTTTGTATTCTGACAAGAGCTTGATTGATCGTATTGAAATTAAGAACAATTTAAAAAAATTATTTTAGTTGCTTCTGTACGCATAAGTTAATAATATAATGATAATAGTTTTATGTATAAATATAATAGATAAAGTGATTAACATGGGCTTTTCTTGTTTAAAAAAAATGTTAAATAATTATGTAGTATCTGTTATTTTATAATCT